ACTAAAATGTATGAAATGTTCTTGATAGAACACTTAGGATATATCAGGAGCCATGGTACATGCTTTGTGCACTGTATTTCATTTCATCCACACAAGTACCTTATAACCATCTGAGCATTTTAAAAGAGGAAATTGAGGCATGGAAGTTATATAATAGTAGCCGAGGTCACATGCTCAGTAAAAAGTAATGCCAGAACCCAAATCACAAGACTCGGGTACAAAACCCATGCTCTTTAATACCACACAACACTGAACAAATAATCTAATGAAAAAGCATCAAACTAAATTTGTATCTATCTTGAATGATCCAATACTTTTTCTTTTTTTAATTTTCTTTAACATTTATTCATTTTTGAAAGACAGAGAGAAAGCACAAGCAAGGGAGAGACACAGAGAGAGGAAGACACAGGATTTGAAGCAGGCTCCAGGCTGCTTGAGCAATCATTACAGAGCTTGATGGGGACCTCAAACCCACAAACCATGAGATCATGACCTAAGCCAAAGTCAGATGCTTAACCAACTGAGCCACCCAGGTGCCCCAATCTGACACTTCTTAATGCTGCATGCTATTTTTACAGAATCTCACGGTTGAATAAAATTTAGCCAAGTCCAAAATTCTAAAGCCCATTCTTAAATTTGCTAAGAATATGCAAGAGAAACTTCTTTCCTGATTTTAGACCTTTTCAGAACTTAAGACGTCCTTTCAAAACTCATTTCTCATTTTTTATAGAGTAAATCCAAGAGTATCATATTCACTTTGTTTGGACACAATCTCCAGAAAAAGGATTCAAGGTACCATCCAAATTCTATATCCCACAGTAATTAACACTATCACACATAACAACTGAAAGGGAAAATTATATTTTACTTATCCTCGGAACCTCTATTATATATAGACACATCATGCCAAGTTCAGGCTTTGAGTCATTATTATGACCAAAAAAATGATTTCTTTTCATAATGTTATTAAAATAATAGTAATTGAAAATATTTGTATAGTACTTTACAGTTTACAAAACACTTTTACACAAAGTATATCCCTGAACTCTCCTAGCAATCCTATAAAGAGACAGAGAATAAATCATTCCTCTGTTCAGCAGCAAAAGAAACTCATGATGAAAGAAGTAACAGTGATTTTCCCTAAGTCATTCAGCTGAGATTTTAAAATAGGTCTTCTGTCTCCAAAGTCAGTGCTCACTCTGAGAAAATAAATACTGTACCACTAACTGCTAAAGCAGTTTTCTATCCACTTATTTAAAACATTATTTCTCCCTTAAACCTTTATGCCAAAAATGTTTAAATAAATCATCACCTCCTCTAGTCTCTTCAGTATAGCCCCATGTTCATGAACACTTACTGGCCAAAATCTGCCACATTCAGTGCCCAGTGAAGTATGTCACAGGGCTTCCATCTGGAGCTGTGCATAACTACAGCTACCCAGAAATCTCAGGAGACTGAGTATTCTTAATAGTTACACTTTAGACAAAAATCTTTATAAAATATTCTATATATTTCCTTGTCTGTCCCTAAACAGATTGTTGTAAAACAACTTAACACTCTCCTGATTCAAACAAGAATTACAGAGCCTCAGTCCTATGTTAAGTCCTATGTTAAGGTCCTGTGTTAAGTGCTGATGATTCAAAGGCAAACAGACATAGACCCCAACTTCAAGGCAGACACAGAAAAGGGTGAGGAGGCAGTCAGAAGCACATGAAAAGTGAAAAAACAGGTATCTGAAGTAGGGGCAGCACATGGTCCAGAAAGCCTTCAGGCAAAAACTAAGGAATACGCAGGCAGGAGACAGCAGAGACCAGTGTAGACACGGAATTAAGGAGGGAGCCTTAGGCAGTTTTGCAATAATCATTTCCAAAACTTGATGCCTGCAGGTAGAAAAGAATAAGGAGGAGGGAAAGGAGGAGAAGGGCAAGGAGGAAAAGAAGTGTTAAGAGCAGGGGCAGGGGAGGTGGAGGGAAATGGGGAGGAGGGAGAAAGAGGAGGAAGGAGAGAAGGAGGGACAGAAGAAGGAGGGGAGAGGAGAAGTAGCAGTAGAAGGGGGAGGAGTAGGAGGAGTAGAAGTAGTAGTAGTAGTAGTAGTAACAGTAGTAGTAGTAGTAGTAGTAGTAGTAGTAGTAGTAGTTCAAGTTGAAGTTCAACACCAGCCTATAAGGATAGAAGAAGGAAGACACATTGTTTAGGTTAGAGAAGTCAAGCCCAAGTGTGGGCACCCCCTGGACAAAAGTAAAGGCAACCATCCCACATAAAACTCAACAAGGAGAAGACAAAAGAAAGGAACCAGTACAGGTACTCATATGTACATAGAGAACTTGATGTCACCTTCTCATCTTCTATTACATAGACAGAGTAAGTAAAAATATTCCCATGGTTCTGATCACCAATCACAGAATAAGACCATTGGAGATCATCATGATTAACCTTGTCATTTTGTGGGTGAGTAAATTGAGGCCCAAAGAAGTACAGTTATTTGGCCAAAGCCACAAATGTTAGCAGCAGAATAAGGACTAGAGTCCAGATTGCTGGTTTCTTGAGTCTAAATTCTGCCAACAGACACTGTCCACCTCCCAATATTTACATTAATTTGTACTGTTTCTACCATCTTTCAAAACCCACTTAAAATATATTTTGATGAGTACAAAAATGAATTTTAATGATAACAGAATTTACCTCAAAATTATTTATGCTGAACTAATATAATCTTTCCTAAATCTATTGGGAAATATCCTTAGTCATTTATATCATTCTTTTCCTGCAGTAGTTATCTTAGAAAATGGAATGTAGATTAGCAGTCATAACTCACTGAGGTGTTTTATTATTTTATCATTATAAATAATAGTCAAGGTTAAAGATAATAGTGATATTATAAATCTACCATTAATGCATATAATGGAATCTATATGTCTATAATAACTAATAGAGTAATTAACTACAGAAAATATAGATGTTAGCAGAAAGAAATCTTTGAAAATGGGCATAATTATTCTCACTCATGAACAGTGGTATTCTTTCAAAGACACAGGACTCTAGAAGCAGTCTTCTCTCTAACCAGAATACTCTCCCCTAAATGATCTTTAGGAGATAACATAATCCTGTTCCCAAGGCAGCATGGATATGGGGAGGGGGGGAGGGGGATCATCTTTCTTGAAAAATAAGCAGAGATATCATCTAAACTCCTCTAATACTAAAATCTCAAATTATTGTTCCAGGTATTCTCATTAACTGATTTCTAAAATACCTCCAGAAAAGTTTTGTTACTAATTTTTCAGATTTTTAAGGAAAATATATAGTACATTGTTGCCTATACACTAGATTGTACCAACATGTTGAATTTATCCATTTCATTTAATTTGGTTCACATTAAAAGTGAATGTCATAAAGAGCACAGAGGTAATATGCAGCTGAGAAACAACCCAAATGCCTATGGATTTCGTAAAATATCTCTCCAAGTCCTTTAAAGCTAAGTCCCCAAAGTACTAAAGGATGATATTTTAAGAGACATTACAGTGATGTTGAAGAAATATGACACAGACCCGCAGGACCTAAAGCATGTGCTCAAACCCGGCCCTCAGGAAACACCTATGTCATGAATAGTCCCATCATACCATTCTGTCACAAAAGCCTCTCTGAGTCCTAGACCACCTACTAAAAATGTTTTCTTTTGATTTATTGCATTAAGAGAGCAGAATGCCAAGAATTTATCAAGTGAAATGTGCAAGTAAAAACCCTTTAAAAGAAGTTAAACTGCCTCCCTCTGACTTTTTTTAGATCACAAAACTACACAGCAAATCAGAACTGCCTGGACTTTTCTTGTATGTCCTAAGAACTTTCCTCTTCCACCTAAAATTTGCCTTTCAAATATATGTCATTTTTGATCACTAGGAACTTCTGCTATATTTGAATTTTTGGAGGAAGCTCACAAATTCACATCTTACCAAATGATAAAACCTAAAGGCAAGTAATAATGGCAAAATGGGGGTGGAGATTATCCCCAAATTAATACATCTCTATACTAAATCAACAGGAGAACTTGGAAAGAGACCTTTATCTTTAACTTGGAGGCTAGAAAGCTAGTGGCCTGACAAAAACACCTGAGCATCCTATCATATTCACATCCATCAGAAACATTCTTTCCGGGGTGCCTGGGTGGCTCAGTCGGTTAAGCGACCGACTTCGACTCAGGTCATGATCTCATGGTTAGTGAGTTCAAGCCCCTCATCGGGCTTTCTCTGACCCTCTACTGCTCATGCTGCCTCTCTCTCTCAGAAATAAATAAAACATTAAAAAATTTAAAATAAAAATAAATTCCCCTAAGGCTAAAACCCACACACAAAAAGTTCAAAACATGAAATTGGATACGCAAAAAAGATACCAGGGTGACTGACTAATGATTACATATGTGTACTACATGATATATTTTACAAAGCGGCACATCTTAAGTCATTGCTCAGAAAGATGAGGAAAGAGGCTCACAAACACAGGAAACTGCTAGTTAAGAACACATATTAACAATAACATTATTATTCCTTTCCCCAAGCCCATCACCCAAAGAGTGATGATAGGCCTCCTGATTCATCCCTCCTATCCTAAATTTGTCATTTATTTAGAAGAGGCTGGACCAGAAGATCATTAAGATTACCAGATACTCCACATCCATGAGGTCAACTTTCACTCTTAACTATTTTCTGCATACTTTCCAACAAATGCTCAAAAAAATAATAATGCCTAACAAATTCAAGACCACAGAATCTATCAACCCATGGCCCACAAAATGGTATGCAAGCCACTTTAGATATACAACTCACCACTAGCTTTATGGTTTTGAGTGAAACCATGCAGAGTAGAAAATAATCAATTATTACACTCAAAAACTTTCACCTCATGTAAATCTGAATTCACCAGATAAAGTGAAAAAATCCTCTTCAGTAGGTTCATATTGCCCAAATTTCAAAACTCCTAAGCAAATGAATATTAAACATGAAACTTGCCAAGACTTGGGCTCTCCAAAGTGGAGATAATTAATGCTGTAGAGGTCCATATCCTCGGTGTGCCACGCAAATGTGGTTTTCCACATGCCAAAATAGAGATAAGGGGTGTTTACACCCTCAATAGAAATACCGCACTCTTCCTCAACCACATCCAAGACTGTATTTAGGCGAGCTATGTTCCATTCATCCACACCCTGGAACCAGAAGAAAGAGAAAAAAAAAATCAAACAAAATGTTAATAAAAATAACATTTACTAATCAAACTGTCATGTGCCAAAATTATTACTGAGATGAAAAATAAAGCAATTATTCAGGTAATATATATTATGTACATATAGGTATATGTATATGATATATATATATTATGTATATATGTGTATGATATATGTATATATCAATTATTAATGATCCAAGATTGCTACTAGCATAATGTGGTCCTATATGAACATTAGCATGAAAGCATACCAAAAAACTACCTGATTCCAAATGGAAATATTAGTTAAGCCTTCACCCTTCAGTTGTTGTTAGCAAAAAATCATTGATTCAAAGAATATGATCTGAAGTGTGCTTTCCATCTTTGGCATACCTTTTCTTTGAAGGTGGGGGTAGTTTTCTGCTTTTAAAATTTTTTGTTTATTTGCACATTAGCTTAGAAGTCACATTCAATATCAGATATCATCTCAAGATACCAATGGTAAAATATATCTTCTACCTTCCCACTCTCATCCCTATGCATTTCAACTTTAGCATGTGATACATCATTTCCTAAAAATTCCACTCTAATTATGGGAAAAATTCTTAGTACTCTTCTAAACCACAGATCATTGTGCTTTTATTGCTCCTTCAACTAAATATTAACTTGTCGGTTGATGGGATATTTTGAATATAGAATAACTAATTAAAAAATCCTTGGGGCAGGGATAAAGAAATGCTGATGCATAGGAGCACATGTACCCCAATGTTCATAGCAGCACTCTCAACAATAGCTAAAACATGGAAAGAGCCTAAGTGTCCATCAACGGACGAATGGATCAAGAAGATATGGTTTATCTATACCATGGAATACTACATGGCAATGAGAAACCATGAAATCTCGCCATGTGTAGCAACATGGATGGACCTTGAGGGTGTTATGCTTAGTGAAATAAGTCAGGCAGAGAAGGACAAATATCATATGTTTGCATGTATAGGAGGATTAGGAGGAACTTAACGGAGGACCATGGGGGAGAAGAAGGGGGGAAATTGTGGGGGAAAGGGAGAGAGGCAAACCATGAGAGACTCTTGAATGCTGAGAACAAACTGAGGACTGATGGATGTGGGGGGGGCCTTGTGATGCTATTAAGAAGAGGCATTAAATGCATTTCTGTATACCAATAAGGTCTTTTCCAATGACTATGTCAAAGACCACACAGATTTCCCTTATCCACTAAAAACTTTCAGGGTTGTTCTGTTTTAATTTGGTCTCTAGATGATTCTCTAATCAGTGTACTAATATTACTTCCTCAAGCCTTTGGATTAGGAAAATTATTGATGCAGCAGTTAATGAAGCTCTGCCTCAGGTAACATAATTAAAAGTCCCAGGGGAAATAATTTAATTCCCAAATTCCCCTAAGCAGCCACTCAATCTACAACTTAAATCCCACAGTGGGAAGTCTGCTATTTGGAAACTGGTCAAAATAAGTACCTTTTTAGAGAAAATCCTAGCTTCCAAATTATGAGACCTCATAAAAATTAAATCTGATTCTATAAAATGTTTTATCTCACTCTATTTATAGTAATGCAGCCTCTTAACTCTAGTCCAATCATACCTCAGTCCAATCATTCTAATAATAGAGTCCTATTTGAAAGTCATTACTGAGGCAATGAATCTAAAGTAATAAATGAGCACCATATTATAGGAACCATTTTAAACTGAATGAGCTTGTGATTTAGGAACAAACTATTTCTCTGAAATTCCTACATTTGGAGAATCCTTATCTTTATTTCTGACTGACATCATCTTTAAGAAATAACTAAGGCTGAATCTCTTGGCATCCCTCAACATGCAGGTCTGAGAGGGAAAAGGTAGAAAAGAAAGACCCAGTTTTTGGTTCCAGCTCTGCCACTAACCAAGGTAAAAATCACTGAGATTTCCTGAGCTTCCAGTCTTTCTACAAGAAAACATGAGAGCTGCAGCACTTCCCAGAGTTGCTCAGAGTACTGGTCTAATGGACACAAAACCTTTGGGAATAACATTTATTTCTTAGAACCTAAGAAATAAATACCTCCACTATTCTCTAGTAAATCTTATGAGAAAGCCTCCAAAACAACAAGGAGACAAGTGATAATACAGTCCTGTGGAATTCACTACTGGTTCTTTCCATTAGTGGACAAATAACATGTTTGCAAACATGTTATTTACCTGGGTAAAGGCCACGGTTTCCATGATGCTGAAACCTAATTTCTTTTTCTAAAATAAAAAGTCATATCATTTCAATTAAAGAAGTTATTAAAATATTAAGAGCAATTGGTACAATGGAGACTAAAAATAAATCTAATTGCTTCAAAATTCCTTCTCCAATTTGTATTCTCTACTGTTGACTGAACTAACTGCCACCAGGTGCAGGCTCTGCTGAAACACATAAGAGCCCAGGTCTCCCTCCCAGATTTAGACAAGGAGTACTCCTAGGCTGTCATTTAGATGAAGTGTTGCATCATACTCTACCCCATTACACTGCACATACATAGACACTATACCTATTCAAAACAATCCTGTAAAATAGGTTACAGTATACCCAAATAAGCAAATGGAAAAAGTAATACTCCTAGCTAGTAGTGGGTGGCAAAGATAAACCTAAATCTGACCCCTGAGCCATCATTTCTAAACTCTATGCTTCCAGTTCTGATCATCTTAAAATACAAGGTAGCATCCCCTTCTCTCAGCCTCCTCAACAAAGATCCAAGGAGCTAAAATTCAGGATAGGCAAACATATAAAGCTCCCACATTCTTCCCACCCACGGTAGAGCCATCCTACACAAACACTAGTAAAGCTTAAAATGCAGGCCTGCTTTACTTGTGGGAGTGATAACAACTCATTTAGTGTAAAAGCAATCTTCAGAAAATCCCAGCTACAAACAAGCCCCACAATAACAGGTCAAAATTTGCCCAACTTACAAAGCTTACAGTCATTGAATCTTAGCAGAAAGTCTGCACACCAGCCCAAGTTCATAGACAAATACCTCTTCCTAGATTCCATGCCTCTCAAAAAAAGCTCTACACACAATGTTCAGCAGGTGCTTGAGCAATATTTGTCATTCACCTGACCTCCAGTGGGGCAGATGTTTCCTGCCAGATCCCCAATCCCTCCACTCCAGTCACTCAGTTGGCATTCTGGGCCTCTCTTGCTCCGTTTGTCTTCTTACCCTGTGTCTGTCATGTTTTCTAAAATAATCACCATATGGCCCTTGTTCTCCAAAATTAGTCCTAAATCATTAACCTGGCACTCTCTCACTTAGGGCTTTCCACATCTTCGTTGCCATCACTCTAACATTCTATTCTCAAAATTGTCAACATCCAACCACATGTTTCTCTCCCCACCCACCCATCTCCTGCCATTATCCCCAGCACCTGCAACATTATCCCAAAGGGGCTGCTCTCCAAACAATGTTATGAGCCCCCAATCTCTCTCCTGAGTTTCAGTGGCACATACCCCACTCTAAGGTGGACTCACAAAGCGCAACAAAAATTCTGAAATGTAAGAATTACAAGGAGAAAATATCATTTCATTCAAAAATCCAACTATTAAAAGAGGATCCACCACCTAGAAGCTATAAGACTCTGAGAAAATACTGAAAGAATTGTTAAAGATTCTAAAGTTTTCAGCTCCTGGGGTACCTGGGTGGCTCAGTCGGTTAAGCGTCCAACCTCGCCTCAGGTCATGATCTCACGGTTTGTGGGTTTGAGCCCCACGTTGGGCTCTGTGCTGACAGCTAGCTCAGAGCCTGGAGCCTCCTTCAGATTCTGTCTCCCTCTCTCTCTCTGACTCTCCCCTGCTCGCTCTCTCTCTCTCTTAGAAATAAATAAAACATTAAAAAAATAATGATAAATAAAGTTTTCATGTCTGTCCCTGATTCAAATAAGGTTATTTTTTAAAAACATACAGAGAAGTCAAGTTATGGTATTTCTTCTAACACAGCAATGTCATTGAGTTATAACTGGATGTTGTACTCTTGGAAGAGCTGGCATAGCTAGTACCTATTGAAATCCCCTCTCTCAAAGCCTACCAACTGCAGAACTGGGGACATCTCTTATACCTGATAACATCCCCCATCAGGTTATTAAGAGGAAACAAAGAGATGCATGCAAAATGTATTTTAAAATTTATTAAACAAGTTTTGATAAAAGGAAAAATAACATTTTCTTTATACCTGACATCTACCAAAAAACTAGTATCAACTTTTGAACTGTACAGGTACTGGGTAATTATTTTATTAATGCAGAGACCTAAAATGCACTGGGATAATCCCCATGCTATCAAAACAGGCAAAATACCCTCATTTTACAGATGGAGGCAAGATGCTCAGTAACTTAACAGTTACTTGCTTGAAAATTAGAGCAATCAGTCTCCTCAGTAGCAAACGTATTGTCTGTCTAGTGAATCATAATTCTTTGTAATCAATCCCTTGAGAAATAGCAGCGCTGGTCTCTTTTTATAACTCAGTATTATTACATGGTGTTTCTCATAGCACATTAATATGAGGTATTTTTAATTTTTTTTAGATATTTTTACTTTAACTAAATAAAAATACTAACTCTTAAGTATTTTTTAAAATATTATGCTCTTCCTCATTTGTCTTTTACCATCCCTTTTAATGACCCTATCACAGCCCAGCTAACACCTAACAAAAGACCAGGCACCAATTTCCACTAATTCACCAGGAACTTAGAACTAAGCTAATGAATATTACTGCCACTAATTCATATGGCTTTAACAAGTCCTTGAAGTCTCAAAGATAATGTACATGGAGGAAGAAAAATAAGACTTAGTGCTTTAAAAAATTCAAACTTCAATCCATTTTACACAGTAATGAGTGAAAAGTGTACCTTTCCATAACTAAAATGAAAGCTCATGGTCCACATTTTAAAACAGACTGAGCATTTCCTTCAGATCTTTATACAATAAAAGTAAATTAGACTCATGTGAAATTCATTTTG